GGGTCATGTGGGTTGTTTCCAGGTTCTGACTATTACAAATATTACTGCTATGAACATAATTGAGGAAGTGTCTTTGTGGTATGATTTTGTGTCTTTTGGGTGTATGCCTAAGAGTGGTATCACTGAGTCTTGAAGTAGGTTGATTCCCAATTTTCTGAGAAACCGCAAAACTGATTTCCAAAGTGGCTGTAGAAGTCTGCACTACCCCTTACTCCACATCCTCTTCAGCATAAGTGGCCCTCAGTGTTTTTTAATCTTAGTCATTCTGACAGGTATAAGATGATATCTCAATCGTTTTGATTTGCATTTCCCTGAAGATTAAGGATGTTGAGCAATTCCTTAAATGTCCTTCGGCCATTTGAGATTCCTCTGTTGAGAATTCTCTGTTTAACTCTGTACCCCATTTTTAATTTGATTATTTTGTATTTTGATGTCTAGTTTCTTGAGTTCTTTATATATTTATATGTGGGGCTGATAAAGATCTTTTCCTATTCTGTAGGCTGTCATTTTGTCCTATTGACAAAATTGTCTTGCCTTATAGAAGCTTTTCAGTTTCAGGAGGTCCCACTTATTGATTGTTCTCAGTGTCTGTGCTGCTGGTGTTATATTTAGGAAGTGGTCTCCTATTCCAGTGCACTTCCCACTTTCTCTTCTGTCAACTTCAATGTAACTGGATTTATGCTGCGGTCTTAGATCAACTTAGACTTGTTTTTTGCAAGGCAATAGATATGGATCTATTTGCAATCTTCTACATGTTCACATCCAGTTTTCACAGCACCATTTATTGAAGATGCTTTCCTTTTTCCATTGAATAATGCTGGGTTTCTTTGTAAAAAATCAGGTGTTCATAGATGTGTGGATTAATGTCAGGGTCTTCAATTCAATTCCATTGGTCCACGTGTCTGTTGTTATGCCAATACCAGGCTGTTTTCAGTACTGTAGCTCTGTAGTAGAGTTTGAAGTCAGGGATAGTGATCCCTCCAGAATTTACTTTATTGTATAGGACTGTTTTAGCCATTCTGGATTTTTGTTTTTCCATATGAAGTTGAACATGGTTCTTTTGAGGTCTGTGAAGAATTTTGCTGAGCATTGCATTGAATCTGTAGATTGCTTTTGGTAAGATTGCCATTTTAACTGTGTTAATTCTGCCTATCCAAGAGCATGGGAGATCTTTATATTTTTCTGGTGTCTTCTTCAATTTCTTTCTTCAAAGATTTAAACTTCTTGTTAAACAGGTCCTTCACTTGTTTGGTAGAATTATCCCAAGATATTTTATGTTATTTGTGGCTGTTGTAAAGGGTGATTTTTTTTTCTGATTTCTTTCTCAACCAATTTATCATCTGTATATAAGAAGGCTACTGATTTTTTTGAGTTAATCTTGTATCCTTCCACAGTTAATAAAGGTGTTTATGAGTTGTAGAAGTTACCTGGTAGAATTTTTGGGGTCACTTATGTATACTATCATATCATCAGCAAATAGTGAAAGTTTGACTTCTTCTTTTCCAGTTTGTATCCCCTTGATCTCCTTTTGTTGTCTTATTGCTTTAGCTAGAACTTTAAGTACTATATTGAATAGGTATGAGATAGTGGACAGCCATATCTTGTTCCTGATTCCAGTGGAATCGTTTTGAGTTTCTCTCCATTTAGTTTGATGTTGACTGTTGTCTTGCTGTGTATTGCCCTTATTGTATTTAGGTGTGTCCTTGTATTCCTGCTCTCTCTATGATCTTTATCATGAAAGATTTTGTGGAAGACTTTTTCAGCGTCTAGTGAGATGATCATGTGATTTTTTTTTCTTTCAGTTTGTTGAAATGGTGGATTACATTGGCTGATTTCCATATGTTGAACCATCCTTACATCTCTGGGATGAAGCATACTTGGCCATGGTGGATAATTTTTTTATGTGTCCTTGGATTCAGTTTGCCAGTATTTTAGCATCAGTGTTCATGAGGGAGATTGGTCTGTGATTTTCTTTCTTAGTTGTGTCTTTGTGTGGTTTGGGTGTCAGGGTAACTATGACCTCATACAAGGAGTTTGGCAATATTCCTTCTGTTTCTATTATATAGAACTGAAGGCGTAAGTCACAGACAATCCCACACCAGTTTGGAATTATGATTAATAGAATGGTTATTTATTCAAAAGGGAAAAAACTTACAGATTACCGTCCCAGACAACAGCCCCTCCACGCGAACAGGAAAGGAGTCCAGGGGCCGGAAACGGAGCCGGAAGACAAAGACAGAGTGGAGGACAGCCGCTGCTTTTTTTAAAGGGAGAGAGACCACGCCCCAATGGGCTGGTAACTCAGCGGCGATTGGCTGAAGGAGCTGAAGGAACTCCCACAGCATAGAACAGTTTGAGAAGTATTGGTATTAACTCTTCTTTGAGATTCTGATTGAATTCTGTGCTGTAACCATTTGTTCCTGGGCCTTTTTGTGTTGGGAGACTTTTAATCACTGCTTCTATTTCCTTAGGGATTATAGATCTATTTAAATTATATATCTGGGGTGGGCGCTGATGGTACTTGCCTTTAATCCTAGCACTCAGAAGGCAGAGGCAGGCAGATTTTTGTGAGTTAGAGGCCATCCTGGCCTACAAGAGCTAGTTCCAGGACAGACTCCAAAGCTGCAGAGAAATCCTGTCTCAAAAAACAAACTAAACAAAACAAAATTTTTTTTTTTTGGTCTTGATTTAATTTCGTTATGTGGTACCCATCCAGAAAATTGTCCCTTTCTTTTAAATTTTCCTATTTTTTAGAGTAAAAGTTTTCAAAATAATGACGTAATGATTCTCTGGATTTCCTCAGTTTCTTTTGTTATATCCCCCTTTTCATTTCTCATTTGTTAAATTATTTTCTGGTTTCTATTCCTCCTGGATGAGTTTACTTCTTTTTGTTCTAGAGCTTTCAGGTGTGCTGTTAAGTTGCTAGTATGAGATTTCTCTAACTTCTGTAGGCATGTAGTACTGTAAATTTTCCTTTTAGTACTGCTTTAATAGTGTCTCATAAGTTTGGGTATGTTGTACATTCATTTTTGTTGAATTCTAGGAAATCTTTAATTTCTTTATTTCTTCCTTGACCCAGTGGTGGTTCAGTTGAGCACTATTCAGTTTCCGTGAGTTTGTGGGCTTTATGTAATTTTGCCTTGTTGTTGTATTCTATCTTAAAGCCATGGCCATCTGAAAAGATACAGTGTTTATTCCATTCTTTTAAATCTGTTGTGATTTATATCTGTTAGTTCCCTTATTTCTTTGCTAATTTTTTGTCTGGCAAACCTGTCTATTGGGGAGAGTAGGATGTTGAAGTCTCCCACTATTCGTGTGTGGGGTTTGATGTGTGATTTAACCTTTAGTAATATATTTACAAATGAGTCCTCATTTCTTAAAGTTCCTTAATGTTCTGCCACTTGTCATTGTGGTTTATGTTTAGGTCTCCAGCTGGGCTGTTTAGTTTTCCAAAATGACAGAGAATAAGACTTTCATTGTATAAACATTGCCGGGCACTCAAGGTGAGCAAAGGTTTTAAGAGTTCTCGTGAAGAGAGCTGCGAGTGCCAATGTGGGCTCTTCCTGTCCCAGTGTACAAGCTGGTGCACACTGAGTTCTTCCTGTCCACCAGGATCTGTGCTAGTGCTTAGCTTGTGTTTTCCCTCTTAATCCCTACAGCATCCTGAGGTAATTCCGAGATTAGCCCCGTTTTCAGCTGAGAAAACGGGCAGTGTCTGCTTCTCGTGTGACCGTGACACCAAGACTGCAGCTCACATCTGTACTGTTAGCTGCTGCCATTTTCTCTCTGTTATCTTTTCTTAGCTTGGAACTGATAGGGCTGGAAATACTTAGAAGCTGTCTCCTAAAACTGTCTTTCAAGAGGTATTACCTACAAGGACCTAGAAAAAAGCTTAGGGCTCAAGGATGTTTACCAATCTAGCAGAAGACCTAGGTTTGGTTCCCAGCATCCTGTCTTTAACTTCAGCTGTAGAAGATCCAGTGCCCCTTTGTGGCTTTTGTGGGCACTGGACACATGTGATATACATACTTATTTGGAGACAAAAATACCCATACCTTAAAGTATCACTATAAAACATTGCCTACAGTATGCAGGGTACATTTTCTAAGGAGAAAGCTGGTTTTGATCTTCTGTATTTGTGCATGGTGAGGGCAAAGGTTGATGTTCACGGTTCTCCTTTGTCTCTCTCCACCTTAATTCGATCTCACCGAGCATGGAGTTCACCGCACTGACTGGGACTGTCCAACCAGCCTCCGGGATGTGCCTGTCTCTGCCTTCCTCTTCCTCCCAGTGCTTGGGTTACAGATGTGTGCCCGATGCCCAGCACGTCTTTTGTGAGGGTGCTGGGCATCCAAACGCAAGTCCTTGTGCTTGCATGGAAAACACTTTCCTAACTGAATCCTGTGACCAGCCCTAATTTTGACCGTCACTCTGAGAATGAAAGACTAGGCCAGACTAGTCTTCAAAGGGTTGGCCCCAGTGTTGCATGGTCTGCATCATTCGCTGACCTCCAGTGGGTACTGCGCCAGTCTTTTTGGCTTTGTCTTACTCACTGCTCTATGACTATGAAGAGACACCATGACCAAACAACTCTTTCAAGGAAAGCATTTAATTGGGACTGGCTCGCAGTTCAGAGGTTTATTCCATTTTCATCATGGCGGGAACTAGACAGGGGTATAGTTCTAGAGCAGTGGCTGAGAGCTTTACATCCTGGGAGACACACACACACACACAGACACTGAGCCTGGTGCGGACTTTTGAAACATCAGAGCACACCCCGAGACAAACATCCTCCAACAAGGTCGGACCTATTAATCCTTCCTGACTATTCATCAACTAGGAACCAAGTCTACATATAGATGAGTCTATGGGGCCATTCTCCTTCAAACCACCATGGGTCTCTGTTAAAGAAATTAACCTGGAAAGTGACAAAACTACCCTTGAGAAGAACATAGGCTGTTGACCTTGTTCCCACCTCATGTGGCCTCTGTTCCTTGCAGAAATTAATGAGCATCAACTACCTGGGCAGCGTGTACCCCAGCAGAGCAGTGATCACCACCATGAAGGAGCGGCGGGTGGGCAGAATCGTGTTCGTGTCCTCTCAGGCAGGACAGTTGGGGCTGTTCGGTTTCACAGCCTACTCTTCGTCCAAGTTTGCCATAAGAGGATTGGCAGAAGCTCTGCAGATGGAGGTAAGCGTTTGTATGTTGTCCTCATAGATCAGCAGTGTGAGCACTGTAGTTCTCTAGCATGTTTGCCTGCATTGTTTGACTTCAATGAAAGATTTATAAATCTGATACCAGTGTAAAGAAAACTAATTCAGTTGTAAGTTCTGGGTTTAACATTTCTTATTGCATAAAAATAATCCTCAGGACAGAGACAAAATGATTCTGAATGCAGGGAGTTGTCTGCGGCATAGAGTCCTGGAGATGCCTTCCTGATACTGGTCGGCCTCTGCTTCAGTGAGCCAGGGATGCCCTTAGATAGACAGTTTTCTTAAAGATCCATCCTGGCCTAGGGAGTTGGCTCAAAGGGTAAAATGCTTGGTGTACAGTGTGAGTACCAGAGTTTGCCTTTCCATTTGGACGTGCTGGGTGGTTATGACAGTCTGCCTGTAATTCCTATATGTAGACGGTGAAGACAAGGTCCGCAAAGCAAGCTGGCTAGACTAGTCTTAGCAGTGTGCGTGCAATTGAGAGATCCCACCTCAAAGCATAAGATAGAGAATCATTAAGAAAAACTCTCAACATTAGCCTCAGGCCTCTGCACACACAGTCTTAGTCCTCAGAGCATGGGCAGCTGTGAAGCTGCAGAAGATTCTGTAGTTCATTTGCAGCCGTCGCTCTTAAGGACTCTGCAAATAGCCATTCTTCTGTCTGTCTTCTTTCTTTTCTCTCTCTCTCTCTCTCTGTGTGTGTGTGTGAGTGTGAAGTATGTGCAGGAGGTTTCTTCAGATCACTTCTTTTGGGGAGGGAAGTTGAATTTTTCATGAATTCAGTGAGTTCGTCAGATTCACATAGTCACTTGGTAACGGGGATAATAACAAGGTGCCCCTGTGACTGCGAGCTTCCAAGTCCTGCAGCAGAGGATGTCTCTCATTCAGGGCAGAACTCAGGGTGTGCATCTGGCAGCTGCTTCATCCAGTCGTTTCGGTTTTGGTCTCAGCATCCGTGTAGGCACACGAGTTTGGGAGATAAAAATAAGTGCCCATATTCCCCCATGTCTGACAATAAGATTCACAGCTTGAGGGCAAAGTGTATCATCTGGGTGCCCTGGTCTTCACTACTGAGGGGACAGTGACACCGCAGCTGGTACAGTCCTCTCACACTCCTGATGACAAGAGCGATTGTTCACACTGCTGGTAGCTGGACGGCGCTAAGTCTCCTTGACTCCTGCACATTAAAAGTGCTATTACTTAAATAAGAAAACAAAACAAAGAAGACTCCGATTTTATTTGGAGAAAATAAATTCAGTCTTTTGAATCCAATTTGTTAATAGTAAAACTTGCATCAAAAGATTTCCTTATGATCTGTGTTTTGAAATCTGGATAATTTGACCAGTTTCTATGAATAAAACCAACATAGTTGCTAAAATGCTTAATGCTCTGAGTATATTTTTCAGTTTAGTTAATGTTTTAAGTCTTCTGTTTATCTCCACGTTTCCCAAACTGAAGTAAGCCTCTGGAAATCTGGGCATAGTATGTTTAATGGAATGCTTTGTTGGTATTTGGGATTGAATTTTCTTTTCCAGTCTTTTATATACAAATACATTATTTAAAGATCTTAAAACTTGATCTTTTGGCAAGTATATTTATAAAGTGGGTTATAGTCAGAGATATCTTGAAGATTCAACCAAAACAACACAACAGCGACTCCCAACCCAGGTGTTTTTCCTGCTTCCCCTCCTGAGAATGTGCAGCCCCTTCCCCATCTCTTTCCCCCAGAGTGGAGCAGTAAGCTGAAGGCTAGAGTGTCTGCTTGTCTGTGTTATCGTTTTAATAGAACCAGGAAGAACAGCTCTTAGGTGGAATTGGTTTTTTTATGATAAACTGGTTCTTAGGCAAGCCATCCATTGTCTTACCCATTTGAGGCTGGTGCCAAGTAGAAGAGAGAAAATGGAATAGGGTGGGGGAGAGGCAGAGCAGAAGGGGAGAAAATGGCCATTCCGCAGGGGCAGGGCGAAGCAGAATAGCTAGGCAGGATTCAGTGAAATCAGGCATCACACTTGCCATGGCTCAGAACAAGTGAGTGTAAGCTAATCTTTCCTTTTGGTTGGGTTATGATATGGACAGTTAAAGAGAAATGTGGGCATAAATTTGTGTGGACTGATTGTTTTGCATATTATGTGAACAAGAATATCAGGAGACCAGGAACTATATGAGATACAGAGAGCTGTCCATTCAGTTCATATCCATTGTTAGGGCTGTGTTGGCACATCATAGTAATTTAGTAAGACTTGTTGGGTGAATAAACCAAAGACTGCGTAAATGTTAAGTTGCTCGTCACTGGAAGCATCCAGCCATAGACTGGATTGCAGAGAGGATGCTAGCTTGAAATGGGACTGTCTGATTCTTTTCCACCTTGGTATTTATAGTTCTTCCCATGAGAGAACAGTTCTAACTTTTGGTGACCCATTCATGACCTTGAGTTGGAGAAACATTACTTTGAAAATCATTTTGATTTTCATTAACACTAAAATTCTTATTGTGGCGTTTTGAGGCGGGGGCACAGAGTAAGTTTGAGAAGCCTCTGTTGGTCTTGGTGAATTGGGGGGCACAGTAGGTCTGAGAAGCC